TGAGCCTGGAGTCCTGAGGTTGGAGGGGCAATGTCGTGGGCCAGGGAGTCAGACAGACCCGAACTAGATGCCTGCTTGCTCGGTGCTCTTGGACACGTGACTTACCTTCTCTGAGCCTCAGTTTTCTTTTTTTTTTTGGAGAGGTTTTTGCTATAGGGCGCGTGCGCTCACCAGACAGAGAGAGACAGAGAGACAGAAAGCGAGAAATCACCCCCCAGGGGGGATGGCCACGCTGCAATCCCTTCTCCTCCATTCTCCTCTCGGGATCTTGGGCATGCACGCACACGCGCCTGGCGTGAGTTTTAAGCCACCGGGTCTGGGACGCGCACCGCGGTCGACTACGTGGGAGTCCAGCGACACAGCCATTACGCTAACTGCTGGTTCCCCTGGTCCCAGTTTTCTTGTCTGTAACATGGGGAGTAATTATAGTCTCTCCATCGCCGGGGTGCTGGGAGGTGTGGCCTGGCATGCCACAGTGTCCAGGCGATGCTAGCTGTTCTCTGACGATAGCAGTTATTGCTACCGAGACTGGAGTCGAAGGATCTACCTTACAGTCAAGGCCAGAGGCACGGGCCATGCCCTGCACCTGCCCAGCAGCCCCCACCCTGCTTCATAATCCTTTTCTTCTCTGGCTGCCTCCTGGCTGCCCTCTGTTCTCTCCACATGCTACTCAGGCTCCTCTACTCAGAGGAGCTCAGGGAACCAAGAGGATGGTCCAAAAGCCTCTCCCCGAGTCCAGCAGCGGGCACCCAGCCACCACACGGCACCACATCCCCTGGCCTCGCTTATGCTGTTCCACTTGCATGAAATACTTCTCTCCTTTGCGCAGTCACCTTCTACTCAGCTTTGCAACCAGCATGTCGCCTCTTCCAGGCAGCCTTCTCTGACTGCCCTCCATAGCTGCATCCCTGGGCCTTCCTTCAGTACAGAATGTGCCACGTCAGCCCACACTCGAGGAGTTCAAAGGACTTTCTAGAGGGGTGAACCTGTGTCGTCTGCTGCTCTGTCCCCGGCCGAGGCTGACACAGGGCAATCGGTGTGTGTGTGTGTGTGTGTGTGTGGGGTGGGCAAAAGTCACTGGGACAGGTCAGGAAAAGCCTCAGCCAGTCCCGTCCCTTCTCCACTGCTCTCTGGTCTTCTGGGTGAAGGAGCTGGGCCTGTCTCCATGCCCTGGGTCAGCACTGACCAAGGGACACTACCTTTTGGCCAAGCCTCCCCCTGCCTGACCTGACCCAACAGGTGCTCTAGCTCAGACCCTTCTGGCCAGCTAGGCTGTCAGCCCCTTCTCTGCACCTTTACCTGGACACGTTGCGGTCCTCGCTGTCCCGCTCCTGTCGTGGGCAGTGGGTCTGGAAGCCCAGCCTTATATCCTTCACACTCTAGTCCAGATGGCCACCCTCTGCATGGGCCAGGACCTCGGGCTGGGCCAAGGTCTCCAACATGACCTCACCCGGAGGCAGCCTCGGGACTCCAACTTCCCAAAGTTTGGAGACGGGGGATCCTGGCTGGTATGAGGTGTGGGTGGGGCGCCGGGATACGTGGCAGGGAGCTGGATCAGGCACAGTGGAGCTGCGCCAGGGACTCCCAGCCTCTCAGGCAGTCACTCTCAGAGGACAATGATGAGGACAGCAGCAGTGACAATGAACTGGCACCCCAGCTTTACATCAACTGTCAGTGGGGCCTCGTCCCCACCCACGGTCAACATTGTCACCCGACTTCACCAAGGCGGACCTGGCCTCTCACAGTTAGGCAAATGGCAGAGCCAGCTTTGACCCAGAAGTTGGATTCAAAACTCATCTTGGCAGACACAGGGGCGTCACGGGACATACTGGGTTCAAGTCCTCGCTCTGTCATCTCCATTCTGTGTGACTTGGGGCACATTCTGTCACCTCTGTGAGGCTCCGTTTTTTTCAACTGTGGATGTAAATGCCGATAGCTCCTGGGTGCTGGGTGCTGGGAGGAGCGCAGTGCACACGGTTTTGAGTGTGGGCCCCAGGACAGAGCACGCGCTCTGCAAGTGTGTGGGGGCACTGCTGTCACTGCTGGTGCTTGTAACAGGAGGGGCTGATAATAGTTTAGGCTAGATAAGTAACTTGGTAAAAGAAAAAATCCAAAGACACACGTATCCATTAATCCTCTCACTCAAGAGCGTACACTCACATCCCATTTTGCCACTTGGCTGTGTGCCCCTAGGGAGGGTAACTGAGCCTCCCGGGCCTCAGTGGCCTTATCTGCAGAATGGGGATAAGGTAGCCCCTGCTCACAGGCTAAGAGCACGGACTGAGGGCACGCCACAGAGCACTCGGCCACGCCTTCATTTGCTTGCTCACCCCTTCTGCAGCAACGAGCACCCACTTTGCCAGGGCCATACCTGTAGGAATCTCGGTGAATATTTGTGGAGTGAGAGAAAAACGAGCCACAAACCAAAGGCAGCCGCCCAGAAGGACCGTCATTCACCCCTGGGCACAAGCCATGGCTCACTGAACCTGCAGGTCTCCAGACATGGGCCTCAGCAGGCCGGATTGTACTGAGGGCACCTGAGGCTCGGAGAGGAGATTGACTTGTTCAAGGTCACATGACCAGGGATGCCAGAGCTAGGGCTGGAGCCCAATCATGTAGCCTAGACCACACATTTCACCACCACGCAGTCCTCCCCAGGGACTCCAGCTGAGCGTTGGGGACTAAGGGGACACCACTGCACCATCCTCCCCTAGGGACTCCAGCTGAGTGTTGGGGACCATGGGGACACCACCACACTGACCTCCCCCAGGGAAACCATTGGAGACTGTGGGAACACCACCACGCTATCCTTCCCCAGGATCTCCAGCTGAGTGTTGGGGACCAGGGGGACACCTTTGGACATAATCTGGGGATCATCCTTGTTGTCTGAATTCAGCCTGGAAGCATGGTGGAATCCTATTTCCATCTGCAGGAGGCAAGAGTGCCCAGCAAATGTCCTGAGGCCACACAGTCTGCGGTCCAGCCCATCGGCCTCCTCTTCCTGGTCTTGTCAAGAGGAACAAGGCGAAGAGCATTTGGCCAGCCTGTTGTGTTTGCAAACTCCCTGGCGGTCCTGGCTACTCAAAGGTGAGGTGCTTCTGGGCCAGGAGGACTCCCGGGAGTCCCTCTCCTCGGCTCCCGGCTGGTCATGCCCGCTGCCCTGGACAATGCCCCTCTGTGGGGTGCTGCAGCCCAGTGCCAGGGCTGGGGCCTGTGCTTCCTGCCTCAGCCCCAAGTCACTCGCAGGGTCGCAAGCCTGACTGCACCTCTATAGCTCGGCACACCTTGGCACCCACGGCCTGCCCTCCATGCCCCTCGGCTCCTCCTTGGCCTTCTGAGGGCCTCTTTGTCTCAGGCACACCCTTTCCAGCTCCCAGGCCTTTGCCTGTGCTGTGTTCCCTTCCTGGAATGTCCCCATCCAATCCCGTGATGGGGACAGTCGTGCCCTATCGGTAGCAGGGCGAGGGAGCCTCTGGCAGACATGGCTCAGATCCCTGCCAGCTACGCTGTGACGCTGGTCCTCAGAGTGAAATGGGACTAATGAGGGTCCTGGGTAACATGAAGCACTCAGCATGGCAGAGAATTCAGGGATGGCGCACGCCATCGCTCGTGCTGAGCTGTCAACACCCGACCCCTGAGGCCTAAGTGAGGAGGCGATATCTGCACAGGGCCATCCCCCACCCCCTTTGAGCCCCCAAAGCCTGTCAGTTCCTTTCTTTATTCATGATAGCGTGTGTGCACAAGGTGGGGGAGGAAGAGAGAGGTCTGGTCTCACCACAATCCTCTTCCTCCGGCCTCTAGCTCATCAGATCCTGGACACTTCATGTCCGGCATGTTCCGGGCTGACCCGGCTGGGGACTGGAACCACAATTGCCGTGCGGGATCTGGTTTCTGGTGAGCAGTGCCGGCCCAGCCCTAACTCTTTGCTCTCTTGGGACTGAATCCTCCTTTGCCTTGATGAATGTCCACTTTTCTCCCTTTTCTCCTTTTCTCTATCATTCATTCATTCATATTGTCTGGCCTCCTCTCTGGTCTCTCTGTCTCCACCTCTAGTTTTTCCTATTAAAATTGAATTTCTGCCCAACAGCTAGAGTTAACAATTTTTTTTTTGGGGGGGGGGTAGTGGGGATGGGTGGGGTTTGCCACAGGGCACATGCACTTGCCAAAGAGAGACAGAGAGGGAAAATGAGAAAACGCTTTCATGGGGGATGGCCATAATGTAACTCCTTTTCCCCATTTTCCTCCTGGGATTTTGGGCATGCACACACATTCGCCAGGCATGATTTTCTGCCATCAAGTTCAGGACTTGAACTATGGTTGGCTATATGGGAATCCAGCACCTTAACCATCACGTCATCTACTGGTCCAGCTAGAGTTAACATTTTAAAACATTTTTGGGACCAGCAGATGGCATGATGGTTAAGTCACTTGACTTCCACATGGTCAACCACGGTTCAAGCCCCAGACTCAGAGGCTTGAAACTGGTGTGTATGTATGCATGCCAAAAATCCTGAGAGGAGAATAGAGGAGAAGGGATTGCAGTGTGGCCATTACCCCGGCGGGTGATTTCTCACTTTCTCTCTCTCTCTGTCTCTGTCTCTCTGATGGACGCACAGGTCCTATAGCAATAATCTCTCAAAAGACAAAACAAAACAAAAATAAAAACAAACAAACAAAAAACATTTTCAGACATTATCTCTCTCCTCCTTCTAAAAAACTGCCAAGGGATCAGTCCCATAGCTCAGCAGTTATGCGCAGTGCAGAGGAAGCCAGATCCTACATGGTTGACCAGGGTTTGAGTCCTGGTCCTGTCAGCCTGAAAACATACTGGGTATGTGTGCACGTGCAGGATCCTGGCAGGGTGGAGAATTGGAGGAAAAAGGACTGTGGCATGATCAGTCCCCATTGCGGGCACTTTCTTTCTCTTTCTCTCTGTCCCTGGCATGTGTGCATGCACACACCCTCTAGTATAAAGACAAAACAAACCTCCTCAGGCCCCTCCTTCACTGAGATGGCAACCCAAGCTCTCCAAGAACCGGCGTGGTTGGCTGCTATCCACCTCATGGCTCTCATCTCTCGCCACTTTGCTCCTTTCTCTTTTCATTCCTGCCTCAGGGCCTTTGCCCATGCCGTGCCTTCTCCCGGGAGAGCTCCTTCCTTTCCCGGCTCTTCCCCCCTCAGCGCCAGTGTCTCCTTGGATAGACCTTCCCTGACCACCCTGCCTTAGGTGCACAATGGCCTTCTCGCTAGCAAGGGTCTGACGGGGTCTGAGAACTCAGGTGCTGTCCTAGGCAGCACGATTCCAGACTATACACCACAGTCCTCGCAGGGGACGGAAAGCCTGTTACACAGCATGTGGTGCCCCCTGGCCTTCAGCCAGACGGAGGTGATAAGAGGGTCCACAGGGAAGAAGATCTGTGGTATTTCTTAAGATACGCAGCAGTCAGGGCAGTCAGCCGGCAGAGGCTCCGCCCTTGTGCAGGGCTGTGGCTCGGATGCCCAGCGGGGAGGTTAATACCTCTGGTTTGCCCCAGAGGGTCATGTTTTGGAGTTTGGTGCCCAGTACAACCTTAGGAGGTGGGGCCTAGTGGGCCATGACTGGATTAAGGCAGCATGGCTCTCACGAATGGATAAATGGTGTCTAGCGAGACCCTGTGAGTTCCGGCTCTCAGGGGAAAGGGTCAGTTCTTGTGAGAGTAAGGATGGCTGTCCCAAGGGCTCTCTCTGCACGTAACCACCATCCTCACTCCTTCCGTTGGCTGCGTTGTGATGTTGGGTCCATGCCTCTGCCTCCCAGAATTAGAAGCCAAGTAATTTATAATAAATATAAATTATATATAATTATTTTCTTTATAATATGTATTATTTATTAATTACCCAGTCTCTGAGCAGCAAGTAAGGGACTAAGACACTCTCTTTGAAGGCGCCAGCAAGATTCAGTCCTAAGCAATTTTGTTTTTTATGAGAGATTTTTGCTATAGGACACACGCACTCGCTGGAGAGACAGAGAGAGATAGAGAAACATAAAGTGAGAACTCACCCCCCAGGGGGATGGCCACACCACAGTCCCTTCTCCTCTATTCTCCTCTAGGGATTTTGGGCACGCACACACATGTGCCCGGCATGAGTTTGAAGCCGCCAGGTCTAGGACTTGAACCGCAGCTGACCATGTGGGAGTCCAATGACGTAACCATTATGCCATCTGCTGATCCCAAGCCCTAAACATTTTCTGGTTCCTCAGGGAGAGGGGAGCTGCTGCACAACTGTATGAGATGGGGGAAAACTTTCCTGCCTCCTTCCCTTTTCTGCCTGGTCTCCATCCCTGGATGGAGCCAGAGAAAGAGAGAAAGGAAATGAGAGGGACAGAGAGAGAGAAACTTCTCCTGCCCCCACCCACCCC